ACCCCTGGGCAATACCAGGGATTGAATCCAGGGCTTCTTAACCAATGAGCCACATCCAATGCCCCTTTTAAAAAATAATTATGGATGCAATTAATGTACCTTGCTAAGTGGCTAAGGCTGGCCTTGAGTTTGGGATTTTCCTGCTTTGGCTTCCCAAGCTGCTGGGTGTATAGGAATGGGCCATGGCACCTGGTTTCTTTGCAAGAATTTACATCAGGAGTGGTGGCACACACCTTTAATTCTGGTGACTCAGGAGGCTGAGGCAGGAGGATTAAAAGTTTGAAAGTAGCCTCATCAACTTAGGGAGGCCCTAAGCAATTTAGCAAGACCCTGTCTCAAAATAAAAAATAAAAAGGGCTGGGGATATGGCTCAGTGGTTAAGTATCCCTGTGTTTCTATCATAAGTTCAAAAGGAACTTATGACAGAAACCCTCAGTTCTCATCACTGTATTTTGAATAACTACTATTCACATTTTCTTGCTGTGTTTTAACATATTTTTATGGTTGGTGGCAACTCAACAAGCCTGAGAGTCCACTTTTTAGATAAACAGTTTGAATAATTTGGTGTACATGACACTGATGCAATTTCATTTCTAATTAGAAAACTCTAAAAAGTAAGTTTCTCCTTGTCTCTGTTATAATATTACATTTTATATTATGTTTACAATATGTTATATATTTATATTATATTTACAATATAAAAAGTTGTGATTAAATATTAATTTGCCTTTTAGTTAAGTTAGTAAACGGCCAAGGCACAAGTTTTAATAAAAATTTCTTGATTAAAGGGGCATTGAGGATATAGTTCAGTGGTAGAGCACTTGCCTAGAATGTGTGAGACTTAGGTCTCATCCCCAGCACCGCAGCAGTTTTTTTCTTAATTAAAAAATCTCTGTTTTTTGTGCTAGGCACCTTTGATGAGGGAACTTATGGCACCCTGAGGTCTAAATAGCTAATGCCCTGATGAAGGAGAGAAGAGAACATATAAAAAATAGTTTCCTAATTATTTGCATTTCTAATTAGGAAACTATAAATAGTACATTTCTCCTTGTCTCATGCTTTGTGACTGGCTTTTCACTTTATTAATGGATCTGTTCTCATATTATACAAATAATTGATGTGGAGATGTTTCAAGTCTAGAATTAGCCTTTTATGTTAAGAATCATTACTTTCTAGGTTCTGGACGTTATTAAGATATCTAGAATCAGGCATGGTGGTTCATGCCTGTAATCCCAGCAATTTGGGAGGCAGAAGCAGAAGAATTGAAAGTTTGGGGGCCAGCCTCAGCAACTTAGTAAGCCCCTAATCAACTTAATAAGACCCTGTCTCTAAATACATAAATATTAAAAAAATATATCTATAAAGTCCCATTTCTTAAGGTGACTTTTATATGACCTAGTCCTTGAGCTTAAAGTATCAGTGAGAAATTATATGTGGTTTGATAGTTGGCCAAAAATTCTGTCATTCTGTCCTTCTCTCCATGTAGAATTTGGCATTGAAAACTTTACAAAAACCCAAGGGTTAGAATGCTATTGTTTAAAGTTACAGCCCTGTATGATTCAGTGTTATGTGTCTGTACATCTCCTCAGCTGTCATGAAGACGGGAGGTACTGGTAAGGATGGTTTTATCTCTAATCATGTTCAAGACTCCAAAGATTAATGAAGCCATGGGAATTTGTTCATTCATTTATTCAAATAATCTATTTGTACCAGGCATTGTGCTAGGTGTTGGGGAAAAATTAGTAAATAAGACAGATGAGCAGTCTACTCCATAGAAATCATTGTCTATTGAGGGAGAAACTTAAATTAAAAAATGTATACATTTATAATTCACTGTAATGAGTACCCTCAAGGAAGTATATAATACTGAGAGCATATAATAAGGAACCTATTTTAGATTGGCTTATTACATAAACCAAAAGTATGAAACTAAATGGCCATTGTAATGCTCAGAATGAAACTTCATTTCTGAAAAAAAATTATGTACCATACCTTTAACTAGGCATATGTGTGAGCTTTGGGTTTCAAAGTGATGTATATACTAAATATCAGTTTACAGGATGACCTGGACCCATAAAAGTCCTTACTATTAGGATTTTTCGACTTTCCTTTCTAATATTTTTTTTCTTGCTTGCTTATAGTATACACTTTGGAATTTCCTCCCTAAGAACCTGTTTGAACAGTTTAGAAGGATTGCAAATTTTTATTTTCTCATCATTTTCCTTGTACAGGTAAGAACTCCATAAACAACTGTTCAACTTTGAGAATTTGAGAGTCTTGATTGATTCAAACAATTTCTAACCTTATGCCCTGTGATTAAAAACAAAGATGTTTCAAAACTGATTATTATAGCAGTTTTAAATTAGAAATAATTACCTAAAGATTTATATGATTTTATAGATTTTTGAAGTTGCATCTTTATTAGGAAACTCATGGAGATTTTATTTCATTGTTCTTTCTTTTAAATTTTCATTGATTTCATATATTTGTTCATCCTAGAAGGATATATCTCATATCATTAAACAAGTTGATATACATGAAAATCAAAATTCATTTACATTAATAGTTTTATTTTGTTAAACATCAGTGCCAGCCTAATTGAAAACTTAATCACTTATCATCATAATTACCAGTTTTGCTCTGCCTCATTCACTTACTCCCTTGAAGCATGAGAGCCTAGTAGATTGATCTGTTTCTGTGTTCTTACTATGCTTTTGCATTTTAAATTTTAGAGTTTTAAATTGTGTCTTCTGTCTTTAAGGCTATAAACCCTTAAACTCTTTCAGTCACTGTATTTACCTCTGAAAAATTTTATTACATTAAAGGTGCTGTGTTTTAAAAATTTCAATGAAATTGCTCAAATACTTGTTGATGTTAAGTGGTTCTGTTCATCCACTTTTAGGCTTTGAGTCTATGATACTATAATTGAGTTTAGCCCCGCTACTTAAAACCAGTCTGGGACATAATATAGGAAAGAGCCAATTTGAATACAAATGATGGAATATTTGAAAAGTAGGTACTTAAGAACCACAGTCAAATGTCTTAAAGACCTAAAATAAATAACATAGTGGATTCTGCTTATAAGAGTCATTCTACTTGGTGGGTAGAACCTCTCAATTTCATTTAGTAAATGTGTACCAAGCACCTATTGTGTGCTATGTAGCAGTCCTGACAACAAAAGTGATTGCAGCTATGATGAAGATCAAGCTATGACTTTTCTACTCTTAAGGAATTTTATTACTGAGAAGACAGTCATGAATTTGCTTAATGTAGTAAGGATCATTTATGTGAATGATCAAAATGGTGTGAGTATACAGTAGGAGTTATGATTTTTTCCCTATCCAAGAGGAGCTTGAGAAGGCTTCAAAAGGAAGGTTAGTATCCAAACTAAGCCTTGAAGATTTAGTAGAGAAGAGGTTACATAAAGACATGGAACCATGTAAAAACCTCTTATGTACACTTCTTTGTGGCAGAGGCAGGCCTGGCTGGAGGTTGTGAGGGCAGACTGAAGTCATGATCTCTCTCCCTCAAATCTAGTTCTCTTTCAATATATCCTATTTCAGTGAATGACAATATCCACACAGGCATGTTAACCAGATTCTTGGCAGACATCTTTAATCATTACTTACATCTAGTTCCTTACCAGTTTTGCTATTTTCATAAATATCTCTGTTACTTCTTTTCATGCCTGTTGTTTCCACTGAAATCCAAGCCATCATCTTTCATCTGATAATAACAGTGGCCTCCCAAATGGACTCTTGTCTTTCCACTCTTGTTTCTAATCTATCATACACAAAGCATGGAGAATCATCTTTTCAAGATGCAGTTCTATTCATGTGACATCTCCCTACCCAAAACCTTCAAGGATTTCGTACTGTTCACAGAATGAAGAATAAACAGCTTACCCTGGCCTAGCGGACCCTGCACAGTCTGGCCCCTTCTTCCTCTTCCAGCTTCATCTCATGCCACACTTTCTCTTGCTAATGGCTTTCTTTATTTTTTCATACATATGCCCTTCTCCCTCCTACCATAGAGACTTTGTATATACTGTTTGCTGTACCTGAAAAACCAACTTTGATCTAGCTAACTTTGATTTCCCTTTCAGATTTCACCATCTGCACTCTTATTTTAATGTCTGATTTTCCCTGTGAGCTTTCTGCTATATGAAGGCAGGGACTTGTCTCTATCTCATTTAAAGTAGATCTCTAGAGACTAGCTGAAGCACAGGGACTGACACAGTGCTACTCAACAGATAGGTGGTAAATAAATGGATGTATTTCAATAAAGGACCAAGTTTCTTAAAACTAACTGCTATGTGGACTGTTTTAATGAAAATTAACATTGACTCTCTACTGGAATGTGTTTTGTCTGCATTTCTGTCTGAAATGTTTACAACATGTAAGTGCTGCATGTGAATTAATAGCTAATTTTCATTTTACTTTCAATTTAATTTCTTCACCTAGGTCACAGTAGACACACCAACTAGCCCAGTTACCAGTGGACTTCCACTTTTCTTTGTTATAACTGTTACAGCCATCAAGCAGGTAACTTTCTTATTTACATTTATGTCTGCATTTCAGCCTATGTTGATTTGAATTTCATTGTCAAAGGCTCATTTTCATATTTATATATTGTAGGCAGTATCCTTGATAGATTTAGTTTATATTTAGTTCCCATTGAAAACCTAGTTAAATGATAGTAAGGCACATCCTTAATTTATTTGCTCTTTTCTTCCTCTATATCTGTGTGTGGGTATGTGAAAATAAAAGAGTGGGTAGACGATGTAGCTCAGTTGGGAAATGGGAAGATGGGAAGTGGGTTTTTATCATGGATTAATTGTCCTAGTGTTGTAAGTCTGAATGAAAATTTCCCACACCAGTAGATTTTTTTTCTTTTTTGTCATTGTAGCCTATAGCACAGGACTTGAGGTACAAATACTTGAATTTTATAATTTCTTGATGGTGCTAAAAGGCATGGGTGGGTAAAGAGACCTTTTATTCCTACTTCTAGTCAGAAGTGATGAGATGCCACAGATGGTGATGTGGATTTCTTTGAAGTATTTTGAGCATTTTGTTTGCTAGTACCAAACTTCCCCGTGAAATTGAAAATGGAACAAGAAATTGGAGGTGAAGTGGTGGGTTAAAAGTATTTATCATGTACTGGGACAGTCCACAGGATCTGATTATTTAAAAACATACATTTAGATAGTACTTATCAAAGTGCTTTTAAAAAGTACCCCATGGAGACTTGCAGAATAAAGGTCAACTTAACAGTATTAAGAATAAGATTACCTTTCCTCTTGGGATTATCTGGTCTTGTATCTTGCCTACCAAGAACTGTAAGAATATTTTATCAAGTCTTTGGTTGCTAAATAAAGACTTGGAATGTTCTTTTCCTCAGGCTGTTAGGATTATTTTCTTTAATGTCATAAAATTACTGGTTCTAAGAATAGCATGTATGATTTTCAAAGGCTTTTACAGATTTCATTCTATTCCCAGTACTACTTCATTGTAGGGCCTTTCTTTCTTCACCACCATTACAGAATATACCCTATGAAGTGATAGACTAGCTTTGTCATAAAAAGATATAAGGAAAAGAAGGTAATCAAGAGATTTTCAGTTGTCTTTTTTTAAAAGAGTACAGACATTATTACAACAACAAAAAGCAAAAAAATTATTTTTATGCTTCTGGAGGCTGGAAAGTTCAAGATCAAAGTGCTGGTATGGTGAAGGTCTTCATGTTGCAGCCTCACAAGGCAGAAGGGGTGAAACAGTCAAAATAGAGGAATGTTGTGTACTCAAATGGGGAAGAGCAAAAGAGAGTGAATCCACTCCTTCAAGCCTTTTGTAAGGATCCTCATCCAATCCATCAGGGATCTAGTGGCATGACTTAATGATATAAAGGACCCATCTCTCTCTCTCTCTCTCTCTTTCTCTCTCTCTCATATATATATATATATATATATATATTGTAGATGGATGCAGTACCTTTATTTTATTTGTTTATTTTTATGTGGTGCTAAGGATCAAACCCAGGGCCTCACACATGCCAGGGAAGTGCTCTACCACTGAGCCACAACCCCAGCCCCAGGATCATCTCTTTATGCTACCACATTAATGATTGAATTTCAGCACTCTCTGATTACTTTTAACCCTAAAAAACTGAGCACCACGTTTCATATTCTCACTAAGCGGAGAAGTTTAGCTGTTAATCTCTAAAATTTATAGTGGATTCTCTGCCAAACCAATCCTAACTTGCTTTTACTATTCTCGGCTTGTGGAAAAGAATTATAATATTTCCTTGGAGGTAATCAGCCTAACAGTCTACTACAAAATATTGAAAGATTAGATATACAAGAAAATAAAAACTCAAATGGCTCTTTCTCATATTAAAAACGTGGAGATACTTAACATTAATTTGAATAAGAGTAGAAATAAAAGAAGAAATCTTAATCCTCCAGGTAAAGAATATCAAAGCTCTAATGCCTGTGTTTCTTTTAATATTTATCTGAATAATGGAGGAAACTTTTAATACCATAAAGCTATTTACCTATGGGGTAGTTTGAATGTGTGTCTTATGGGGCTGGGGTTGTGGCTCAGTGACAGAGCACTTGCCTAACACATGTGAGGCACTGGGTTCAATACTCAGCACCATATAAAAATAAATAAAATAAACGTATTGTCTATCTACAACTAAAAAATATTAAAAAGAAAGAAAGAAAGTGTGGGCTGGGGATATATCTCCAGTTCGTAGAGTATTTGCCTTGCATTCACAAAGGGAAAAAAAAAGTGTTTCAGATTTGCCATTAAAATATGCATCATTGTCTCTTTAGCATTCTGAGTTGAAATTAATACTGTAATTTTAAATATCTGCTGTTGATTCATGGGAGGATTATACGGATTTATTAACAGTTTACTTTATTGTTTGAACTTGATTATATAGTTATTTTTATCCTTCTAGGGATATGAGGATTGGCTGAGACACAGAGCTGACAATGAAGTCAACAAGAGCACTGTTTACATTATTGAAAATGCAAAGCGAGTGCAAAAAGAAAGTGAAAAAATTAAGGTATTTTTTAGTATCCGTTTTTTACTGTGGCAAAATGTACATTTTAAAGTGTATGATTCAATGTCCTTTAGAACATTCACAATGGTGTGCAACTATCAACACTATCTAGTTCCAGAATATTTTCTTCAACCAAAAATGAAACCTCATACCTATTAAATAGTCATTCCACATTTCTCCCTCCACCCAAACCCTGGGAAAACAACTTTTTGTCTTTATGGGTTTACATATTTAATCATTTTTATAAATGGAACCATATACTATGTAGCCTTTTATATCTGGCTTCCTTCACTTGATAATATTTTTTTAGATGCATCTGTGTTGTAGCATGTATTAGCAATTCATTTTTTTGATGGCCAAATAGTATTTCACTATGGATATACCACAGTTTATTTATGATAACTAATTTGGGTTGTTCCTACCCTGGGGCTATTCAGAATATTGCTGCTAAGAACATTCTAGGACAAGTTTTTTGTTTGACATGTATTTGTAATTCTTTGGGATATGTACCTAAGCAGACAATTGCTAGGTCTTAAGGTAATTTTATGGCTAACATTTTCCATAGTGGCTGTATCATTTACATTCCCACAGCAATGTATAGGAGTTCCACAGTACTATTATATTTTTAAGATGCCAGGCAGTTAATTTTTGAAATTAAAACCAGTCATTATTTATTACTACCCAGTAGGACCCCTGTCAGCATTTAGACTTCTCCATATCAGATCTTTTTGGTTCTCAGTAGAGTTTTTAAATTAATCAACTATTTTTAGAGCAATTTCAGGTTCATAGCAGAATTTAACAGAAAGCAAAGAAAGTAACTTATATGCCCACTGTGCAGCCACACTCATATCCTCTTCTTCCATCAGCATCCCACACCAGAATGGTGTTTTTTACAATCAATAAATCTACTTTGGCACACTATTTTCGCCCAAAGCCCATAGTTTACATTAGTGATCACTCTCTGTGTTATATTCTATGGGTTTTGAGAAATGTATGTCATGTATCTGACATTGTGATATCATATAGGATAGTTTCAGTGCCCTCAAAATCTTTTTTTTTTGTGTGTGTGTGCCTATTTATCTCACCCCCGGCCTTCACCTCTGGTAAATACTGATACTTTGTCTCCAGAATATCATATTGTTGGAATCATAAATATGTAATCCTTTCAAATTGACTTCATTAACTTAGTAATGTACATTCATGTTTCCTCCAGTTTGATAGCTCATTTTTTTCTAGTGATGAATAATATTCCTTTTTTTTTAAAGAGAGAGAGAGAATTTTTTAATATTTATTTTTTAGTTTTCGGTGGACACAACATCTTTATTTTATTTTTATGTGGTGCTGAGGATTGATCCCAACGCCCTGCGCATGCCAGGCGAGTGCGCTACTGCTAGAGCCACATCCCTAGCCCAGTATTCCATTTTTTTAGTGTGCCACAGTTTATTTGTATATCCACTTCTTGGAGTGCATTTTACTTTAAAGTTCTGGCAATTATGAATACAGTTACTGTCAACATCTGTTTTCAGGTTTTTATGGGGCATAAGTTTAATTTCATTTTAGTAAATACAAGGGATCAAGGTTGAAGGACTGATTGTATGGTAAGAGTATGTTTCATTTCATAAGAAATGGCCAAACTGTCTTTCAGGATCGCTGTATCATTTTTGCATTTCTACCAGTACTAAATGAGCCCTTACCAGTATTTGATGTTGTCAGCGTCTTAGATTTTGGTTATTCTAATAAGTATATAGCTGTATTTCATTAATTTTTACTTCAGTTAGCATTTCCTTGATAACATATGATTTGGACCATTTTTCCATATGTTTCTTTGATTCATGCATTACAGTTGTGTTATAATTTTCAAATATTTGGGAATTTTCTAGATACGTTTTGATTATGGATTTCTAGTTCAATTCTGTTTTATTCAGAGAACATACTTGGTATCATTTCAATCTTTTTAAATATGTTCAGATATGTTGTATGGCCCAGAATATAGTATATTTTGTTGAATGTTCCAAATGCACCTGAGAATTTTAAAAAAGAATGTCCATTCTGCTGCTGTTGAGGAGTTTTGTGTAAATGTCAATTAGGTCAAGTTCGTTGATAATGTTTTCAAGTCTTCTCTACATTTAATATTTTCTTACTTGCTCTATCAGTTATTGAGAAAGGAGACAAAAAACTCCCAACTATGACTATGAATTTGCCTATTTTTATTTTCTGTTTCATCAATTTTTTATGTACTTTATAGTACAAAGGGCAAAATTATTTAGGATTATTATGTCTTCTTTGTGAATTGGCCCCTTTATCCTTGTGTAATCCCTGTCCCTGGTAGTAATCTTAGTTTTGAACATAAATTTGTCTGATAGTACAGTCAGTCCCATATAGTAAATCCTTTCTTTTAACTGTTGTTTGCATGGTATGCTCCATCCTTTTAATCTCTCTATATCTTTGCATTTCTAGTTTGGTCCTGGTTATTGGTTTTATTTTTTTAAACCCAGTCTAAAAATCTTTGCTTTTAATTTGGTAGCTCAGCCATTGACTTGTTTTTTTTTTTTTTTTTTTTTTAGGTTAATTTTCTTTATTTGTTTTTTTTTTTTTATTGGTCGTTCAAAACATTACATAGTTCTTAATACATCATATTTCACAGTTTGATTCAGGTGGGTTATGAACTCCCAATTTTAC